CGCAGCCCCGATGCCACCGGGCTCTGGCCGGGAGGAACTGCCGCCGGGGGGGTGGGGGGGTGGGTTCTGCGCACCCGTGCGATGAGCGGGCCGCTCTCAGCTCGCTAGCGCCAGAATGGCTTTTTCCACCCCAAAAGTTTGCCGGGGCGGCGGGACGGACGCTACCGGTACCCCCAGGTGACTCCGACTCCGGGTGTCCCAGGGGAGCCCCACTCTGCTGGGGCAAGCAGCACCCATGGCCCCCAGCACCCCCCAGCGCCAGCACTGGCACCGCAGGGGAAACTGAGGCACCAGGCAGCCCCACGCACGGCCCGGGAGGTGTGTGTGTGTGGGCATCGGGCCTGGGGACTCCCTGTGGGGAAACTGAGGCACAAAGCCCCGAGGCTTGAGCAGGGGGGTGAGGGGCTCCTGCTCCAAAGCCTGCCCAGGAGCCCCAGGTGAGGGGGTGAGGGGCTCCCAGCGGGCGTGCAAGAGTGTGAGTGTGAGTGTGTGCGCACAGCTCTGCAGGCTGCATGTGCTTATGTGCCTGTTTCCAGCCTCACTGCAGGGGTTGTGCTTGTGTGTGCACACGTGTGTACATGTACAGCCCCGCTGCACGAGTGTGCCCGCACGGCTTCATGCACATGCGCTGCAGGGGGTGTCTCTGTGTGCGTGTGTCTCTGTGTGTGTGTGCACACATCACTGCAGCGCGTGTGTGCACATGTACAGCCCCCCTGCAGGGTGTGTGCACGCACACAGAGCAGGATGGGTCCATACTCACAGCCCTGCTGCAGACAGCGTGCGCGTGTGTGTGTGTGTGTGTGTGCGCACAAGTCCAGCATCACTGCAAGGTGGGGTGTGTGCGCACAAGCATCTCGCTGTGCTCTGGCTGCGTGTGTGCCTGTGCAAGCACAAGTCCAGCGTCTGTGCGAGGTGTGTGTGCACACACAAGTCCAGCATCACAGTGGTTGTGTGTGTGCATCTGTGTGCGAGGTGGTTGTGTGCGTGCACAAACACACACGCAGCAGCTCTGCACCGCAGTTGTGCGTGTGTCCCGGCTGTGCGTGCACACCAGCGCGTCATTCTGAGGTGCGTGTGTGCCCGGCCTCGCTGTGGCATGCGCCTGTGCACCCCTGGGCCTGCGCGTGGCCTCGCACGCTCACCAGTGCTGGGGCGCTGTGGCGGTGCAACCCCACCTCCTGCAGCACAGTGGGGTCCCCCCCCCAGCACCCCGCCTGCGGCCGTGTGCCCCCTCCTCTGCGCTGCGTGGCTGTAGGGATCGATGGCAGCAGTGGGAGCGCCGAGGTAACACCCCAGGGTGCCAGGCACCACCTCTTCCTGGTCACCCTCTGGTTCAAGGGGACATCTGTGACACCCAGCTGCCCTCCCGGCCCCGCAGCAGCCCCTCGGGGCTCTGCGCTGGGGCTCAGAAGGCTCAGGGTGCAAACCGGGGCAGGGTGCCGCTGGCTTGGCCGGGGAGGATTGGGGTGCCCCGCAAGGAGGGGGACACCTTGCTGGGACCCCAGTGTTGGGGTGGCCTTGTCGTTCCCCCAACACCCTGAGCTGGGTGATGGGGAACCACCTTTGGGTGGCCGGGGATGAGCATCTGTGAAGGATGAATTTTGGGGGTGTCTGGACCAGAGCGGGCCTCCCCAGGAGCGCAGGGGGAACCAGGAGCATCCCCCTGCCCAGACAGGGATGCTGGGCATGGAGAAGCTTCACCCATCAGCCTGGTAGGCCAAAACCCCCTAAAACTCCCCCAAAACACCTCAGAAGGTGTCACCGATGGGCCATCATCCAGGCAGGGATGTCCCCAAGCGCTGGGGATCACTAACACAACCCTACGTGGTTTTACCCCCCAAAACCAAAGTTCTGAGCCCCATTTTCTCCCAGCTGACCCCTCCAACACGAAGCCCTCCAGGCACTGGCTGACCCGCACGGTCCTGCCGCCTGGCACAGGCAGCTTTGCCTCTTGCAGAGGAAGAGGCATCAACACCCCAGCCCAGCTTCCCAGTGTTCCCAGTACCAACTTGCCCAGTCCCTTCTTTCCCATCAGCCTGGTTCCAGCTCCATGTGTCGAGGGGTATCAAAAAGGCAGAAATTCACCCCAGAAGGAGCAAAGTCCCAAGCGGGATGGAGCTGATGGGCACTGTGAGGCTTTTGGTTGAGCAATAGCCATGCGGCGTGGGAAGTGCTGTGCCTCAGTTTCCCCACTGTCACCCTGCAGGGATCTTCCCCCACATCTGAGGGGCTCATTTTGAGCCAGAAACCCCGAATCCTTACATTTTCTCCCTCCTCCATCCTATCTTTGTCTGCAGGGGGGAGGGCTGGACACCAAGGCGACCCCAGCAAGAGTTGGTAATTTGGTGGCTGAAGTGCGGCAGAGCTGCAGCACCCATCTGCAACCCTGGGCTGGGCGCAGAGTCCCCAGGGGAATATGTGGGTACTGGCACAGGCGGCACCCAGCACCCTGCCCGTGCCAGCACCCGGGGCGCAGGATGCTCCCAGCTGGGAGCTGCAGCAGTGGAGGGGGGTCTCCTTACCCACAGCCCCCACCCTGGCGGGCACCCCAAGCTCAGGCATGGCCAGGGAAGGTGTTTTTGGGGCAGGAGTCTGGGTTTTTGGCTGTGGAGGTCCAGGCCACGGCAAGGGCAGGGTGGGTGCTGCGAGTGGGTGGCTGGAGTTGGAGCAAAGACCTTGGCGTCCGTTGGTGTTCTCTGGGGGGGTCAGACCCTTCTCGGGGAGGTTGTGGGGTGCACACTGTTGGAGTCAGCATGTGTGTGTGTGCACAGACACCTGTGCTGCCTTACACACCCCTCCCTGTACCCCCACTTGCACAACTACCCCCACCTGCCAACACCCAGACCCCAACACACCCCCATCACCCCCCACACACACACCCCCAGCCTGTAACACTCCCCACCAGGACCATGGACACACACAGAGTGTTGCTTGGGGGGGCTCTGGTCCCTGCCGCGGGGGGGGGGCAGCTCCTCCTGCTGTGTCTCCGTTCTCCCTCCATGAGGGGGACACTGCTATGGCCAGAGGGATGGGTAATTCATTGGGGACCACCAGCGCTGCCCATGGGGGATCTGTGGGGACAGGGGCTGGGGGGGCAGCCGGACTCACCCCTGGTCCCCCCGCAGAGATCCGCGAAGCCTTCAAGGTGTTCGACCGGGATGGCAACGGCTTCATCTCCAAGCAGGAGCTGGGCACAGCCATGCGCTCTCTGGGCTACATGCCCAACGAGGTGGAGCTGGAAGTCATCATCCAGCGCCTCGACATGGACGGTAGGACCCCAGCGCCCCAGGACGGGGACAGGGACCGGTACCCCCCGCCCCTTGCTTTGTGGAAACGCCCAACTTGCCCTATTTCCACCCCACTGGCTGGTGGCTGCTGGACCCAGCGTGGGATGGGGGATGCAGGAGGGCCTGATCCAGGCTCTGCCCCATGCCCAGAGTCTCCCGCTCATCCATCATCATCATCATCATTGCCACTGCAGCTTTGTTTAGGAGGATTGAACAATCCTGGAGTGTTTGTGGGCACCTCTCCTGGCTCTGCAAACCTGCTGGGACCAGGCTGCCGGGGCCAGATCCTGCACCCTGGGGTAGATCCTGCACCCTGGGGTGGATCCAGCGCCCCGGACCATGCCCTCAGCATCCAGCAGGGCGTGCTGGCCGTGCATCTCCAACACTCGCTGCCACCATCGGCCTGTCCCTGTTGCTCCCGCACTCACAGGACCTTAAAGAGCTCGTTAATTTATTGGTTTCTTTTTTTTCACCCATTTAAAAGCCTTTCCGGCAGCACTGCCAAGCTGCTGCTCCCTTCATTACTCATCGTTAGTGCTGACCTGACAGCCCCACCACCAGCGTCCGCAGTTGCAGGATAAGGCCAGCCCATGGCACCCTGTCCCCGCCCCTTCCCAACCCCCCCAGGGTCACGGCCACCACGGGGGTCCCCAAGGGGCATTGGGGTCCCAGATGGAATTGGGGTTCCAAATGGTGTTTGGGGTCCTGGATGGTGCTGGGGGTCACCAGGCAGTACTGGGGGTCCCCAGATGGCATTGAGGGTCCCAGCTGGCACTGGGGACCCCAACCAGTGTTGGGCCTCCCAGCTGGTGTTGGGGAACCCAAACTTGGTTGGAGGTCCCCACCAAGTGTTGGGGTCCCTGTTGGTTTTGGGTGTTCCCAGCCAGCATTGGGGGTCTCCAGATAGTACTGAGGGTTCTCCAGATGGCATTGGGTCCTGGCTGGCACTGGGGACCCCAGCCAGTGTTGGGCATCTTGGCCAATGTGGGGGGACCCCTAACTTTGCTGAAGGTCCCCAGATGGTGTTGGGGTCCCCAAATGGTTTTGGGGGTCCCCGACCAGCCATAGGGTCCTAGTTGGTACTGGGGCTTCCCAGCCAGTTTGGGGGTCCCTGGCTGGTGAAGTCCAAGAGTCCAAGGGCCTGTAATACCGGCTGCTGCTCCAGGCCATTGCAGCTGGATGTTAATGACTCCTGGGTGGGATGAGGGGACTCTGGGCACTGCCTGAGCCCCCCAAGTGCTGTGCCCAGAAGCAGGGTCCCCCCAGGCTGCCCAGAGCAGGGTCCCCCCAGGCAGTGCCAAACCCAGGAGGAGGGTGCCCAAAAAAACTGCTGAGGCTTGGAGCAGAACCCCCTCAGGCTGCACAGGAGTTGGGGTTCATCTGAACATCATCAACTCCAGGAAGGGTGACCCCTCAATCAGCCCCATGAGGACCCTCCTGGGGGGCAGTTGGGTGTCACATGTGCCCCCGTGCCTGGGCAGGGGGTGACAGCCACCTCTGTGTCCTACAGGCGATGGGCAGGTGGACTTTGAGGAGTTTGTGACATTACTGGGGCCCAAACTGTCCACCTCAGGCATCCCGGAGAAGTTCCACGGCACAGACTTTGACACTGTCTTCTGGAAGGTAGGGACACCCCCACCCTCCCCCCGGGGGGCATCACCCCTGGACCCACACCGAGAGCACCGGGGGATGGCTTAGGGTCAGGGTCAGGGTCAAGGTTAGGGTTAGGGTTGGGGTTATGGTCAGGGTTAGAGTTGGTTTAAGGGTTAGGGTTAGAGTTGAAGTCAGGATTAGGTTTAGGATGAGGGTTAGGATCAGATTTAGGGTCAGGGTTGGGGTTAGGGTGAGGGTCAAGCTCAGGCTCAGGCTCCAGGTTAGGGTTAGTGTAAGCATTAGGGTCAGGGTCAGGTACACTGGCCTGAAGCTTTTCTGTCCCTGCCACGGCACGGGGTGGTGGATCGTGCGAGCACCCACCGGGTGCCCCTCACAGGCGCAGCCAGCCCTGCTATGCTGGGGGGGTTGGCAGGACACCAGACCTTTCCCTGCCAAGAATGGGGAAAAACACAGCACCCAAGGGTGCTGGGGGACCCCACAGCATCACCGTGCCCCCCTGCCCGTGGGGTCAGCCCCTGCCCGAGCCCCCCTGCCCGCTCCCCGCAGTGCGACATGCAGAAGCTGACGGTGGACGAGCTGAAGCGGCTGCTGTACGACACCTTCTGCGAGCACCTCTCCATGAAGGACATCGAGAACATCATCATGACGGAGGAGGAGAGCCACATGGGCACGGCCGAGGAGTGCCCCGTCGACGTGGAGAGTGAGTGCCAGGCGCCTGGGGATGCCAAACCCCCCCACACACACACAGCCCCAACGCCACAGGGATGGCACCTGGGGTAGGGGGCGGAGTGGGGGGGGTGTTGGGGTAACCCCCCGGCTCTCCCCCCAGCCTGCTCCAGCCAGCAGATCCGGCAGACCTGTGTGCGGAAGAGCCTCATCTGCGCCTTCGCCATCGCCTTCATCATCAGCGTGATGCTCATCGCCGCCAACCAGGTGCTGCGCAGCGGCATGAAGTAGTGGGGCCGCCCCGAGCGCCTGCCTCCGGCCACCGATGGGGAGCCACACCTGTAGCGAGGAGTATCGAGAGAGATATATATCCATATTCAAATCAGACATGCAAAAACCCCCCCGGGAGGGGGGCAAACCTGAAGGGGGAAGACCTGTGCTGGGTCCCCGCTGTCTGGAACGATGCGATCGCATGGCTGTTTGCAGAACATGGAAACTTTGATAAAGACACACAAACACACACAGAAAAGACCCTCGCCAGAAAAAAAACCCAAACCGTAAGTGCATGTAACGTGCATGGAGCCCCGTGTGCTGCCCCCTCCCCGCGCCGGGGGCAGATTGCCCCCCCCGGGCGTAGGATCCCATCGGATACACCGATACTATCGTCTATAGCTCTATATTTATGATAAAAACCAAATCATCCCCTAAGCAATACACGCGCCTGAGATGGTTTCTAGAGATGGGAGCGTTTGCATGGACTTGGCTGCCAAGGGCTGGATTTCACACACACACCCCCC